TGGTGTGTGATTTTGTACATATGTTCATATTGTATATACTGAATTGATATCATCTGTCACCTAGCTGTTGGTAATTCTGCTTGTGTCCGGACGACTTACACTTGGATCATCAACCTGAGAAGGAATGTAGGCGTGCTGCTGTAAGTCCTACAGTTCTTCAAGGGTAGTTCGTCAAACCAGAATCCACAACATTTGATGTGTTGATTGTACATATGTTTGTGTTAAATAGTTGTGTGAGTTCCAATTATTGTAATTGTTGGCTAATCTTGTTTGTGTCCGGACATTCTTCAACTCACAATCGTCAACCTGTGAAGGGTTGTAGGCGTACTGGTGTAAGTCCTGCAATTCTTCAAAGTAATCCCATGTAGACACGATCTGCGAGTTTGTGTGTGCTGTTTGTAGATCTGTGTGGTGTGTCGCATCAATTGGTGTTTTTGGATTCACTGTGTTTACTTGTTGTTTTCGTATCTTGTTGTTATTGCATAATTTTGTTAATATTTCCGTCGTGATTACTTCTGAAGTTGTGTCCACTCTTCTACATCCGTGAATGAATTGATTGATGTTAAGGACAGCAGATGGGTCGTATACGCCGGGGAGGCTAGGCTATTGCTGAGAATGGAATGCACACGGAGATAATTGTTAGCTGCGGTCCCACACGCCGGGGAGAAAGAGTGTAGACGACTGAGGCTCGCATACGTCACCGTTACTAGAACTGAGGCAGAATGAGTGACAAGAGATTGCAGTGGTAATTGGTAGTGAGTAGATAAGAGGATGTGCGTAGAGTATCATGAGGTGGTGCTATGGTCACGTTGCATTCTGCAAGAGTCATTCTAGCAAGTGGCGATTGTGTTGCAAGATGTCAAGAGGATACCTTTAACTTTAGGCGTAGGTCATCGTCGATGAGTGAGATTGTGCTATGGGTATGTCTGTGGTGTGTTGGCTTTTCTGTTTGTTTTCCATTTCAGTTCTGTCCGTGTGACCCAGGTTCTCGCAATGGCATCCAAGTCAACGTGTGTTGGTCGTGATGGAAAATACGAATGGATCCCTTTTTGCCGGGGAGTGTCAATGTAGTTGAAGATTGAACGATCAATTCATGGTTGTTTGCTCAAAATCAACTTCCCCAATTTTCGCGGAGTCATCAATACGGCCATCATCGTCTCATCGGTCGCTGTTCAGAAAGAAGTCAGGAGAAAACCGTCAGAAGTAATATTGTGATTTATTATTGTAATATTTGTTCATAGACCTTAGTTTTAAAGCTTAATTTTAAAGTTGGCTATATGTTGGTATTAGAATAAATAATTCTCGAGTGGGCAATCGGTGTTTGGGTTTTTGCGTCCGTTATTACTAAGCGTTTCTGAGAAGCTTTGAGGAATAGCTTGAGTCCCAGCGTAGCAAGAGCTGGGCATTGACGGTTCACGAGGCGAGACTGACAGCATATCTGATGCAATCATAACAGTCTTCTTGGCCTGAAACTTGGTATGGACATTATTTCCTCTTTCCTTGCTTAATAAAGTGATGTGACATCGGTCTAAAGTATTCTGGCATTGTTTCACCCACTGGCGACAGTCGGCATCGAATTCATATATCTCCTTATTTCCAGCAAATTGTAGGTTTATTTCGCTTGTGTTTCCAAATTTCATTGAGGTCGTTAGACTTACCTTCAACCTTCCTTCGTTACCAGGGATCCAGCACCCAATATATCCAATGTCGTTCCTGATCTTCGGTAAGCTTCTGCAAAGCTTGTCCCTCCACTCGACTGTCGTGGCCTTGGTTGACTCCAAAAGGAGTAGTGATGTAATTAATTATATGTGGTTTGTAGTGTGAGGTGTGTTAGAACTGTTACTACTGTAAAAGGAGTTGATCCTTTCACCAGTTAATCCTTTGGTATCGTCGTCAAAAGAAAAGAGATGATAATAATAATAATAGATACAATCAGTGAAGTTATTCAAGCTAACAGACAGGAAAAGAAATAACGAAAACGTAAAACAGACGGTTGATCGAATTTGAAGTTGCTATATGCATGTTAATATATAATATCACTAATAATAATAATAAGTGTAGTAGTTGGAGTGGTCAGGAGATTAAGATGGGAGAGAATGTTACGAAATGAAACGACGGATTTAGATGTCTACCAATTGGTGGTGTATGGGATAAGCCATTCGGACGCAGTCCTTGTGTCGCTGCATGATTGTCCAGCCTTCGCTTAAGGGTGTCCACAGAGGGTGCCATAGCTACATCTGCCGGTAAGGAGTTCCAGAGATGGCGAACCCGCAGCGAAAAGAAGTGGGAGCGCACCCAGATCCTTGCCCTCCGCTGAGCTATCCTTCCGGGATTTCCACGCGGAAGGCTATACCTACTCAATGGCGGAACGCCTTTTGTCAATGTAGTTGAAGATTGAACGATCAACTCATTGTTGTTTGCTCAAAACCAACTTCCCTATATTTTCGCGGAGGCATCAATCCACCAGTCATCGTCTCATCGGTCGCTGTTCAGAAAGATCAAAAAACTGTCAGAAGTAATATCGTGATTTATTGTTGTAATATTTGTTCTTAGACCTAAGTCTGGAATGCCAGTCTTGCTGGTTGCATATTGGTGTTAGAATAAAGAATTCTTGAGTCGCCAAATAGCGTTTTGGTTTTTGCTTCGGTTTATACTAAGCGTTTCTGAAAATCTTCGAGGGACAGTGTGAGGCCCAGCGTAGCAAGAGCTGGGCATTAACGGTTTATGGGACTTGATTGACACCTTTGCTTGGGTGATTCTGGTCATTTGTTATCTTAAAGTTCGCAATCAGGGGGGATAAGCTGACGGTAACAAAGTGTTAATAGGCCTAATGTCTTTGGCCTTTCATGATAAGGTTTATTTCGGAGACCCGCCACTCAATTTATCACCCATCTTTGGACTCTTTCTAAGGGGTTGGCATCTCTTCTAAGCAGTTGGGGTGCAATAATTTTATGCACTTCAAGGTGTGGTCTTGCGTATGTTTTGCACAACCTTGGAGCTAACTCAGTGGTGAGTGCACCTAACTGTCCATGTGTAAGGTGTATAACCGCATTTGCCCTTGCTACATTCCCGTGTAATTCACGCCTGTGTCAATTTTTTCTTTTAGAACTAGACATAAGTAGCGTTCCGACGTTATGCAGGATAAGCTTTCATTGCACAGGGTGTAACTTGCATTCTACAGTCTACATGTGCATAATTTCACTACGTTGCAATTTTTCAGGTTGAAACTCATGCCTTTGGACACAGCCCAGTCCTCTAGAATCTTTAGATTTGCCTGCGCCTATCTGAGTCCTCCGGAAACATTTTGGCCTTTGTATCTTTACATCGTCAGCGTATAGTAGGGTCGGGCAGCTTAGGTGACATGATAGATCACTGAAAAAATCAAAATCGTCAGTGGTCCTAAAATAGAACCCTATAACACTCTTGATGACGAGTTGTGCAAAGGTGGCTGGACTCGATTCATCCTAGTGCGAAATTTCATTTCAGATAGGTAGTCCTTCAACCATGAAAGAAGTAGCGTACCTATATCTGCCTGACTTATTTTGTGTAGGAGAAGCTAATGGTAAACTGTGTTAAATGCCTTCTTAAAGTCTAGGAAGACCATATGGACTAGAACATTCATATCCCAGCATGATGCTCAATCGTCCCAAGGTGATAGTGGGCTTGTTACATTGGATCTGCATTTCCTAAAGCTATTTTGTGCTTCATTGAGCCTATTAGTCCTGTCGAGGTGCTCCTTGGTGTGATTATCAATAATAATTTCCAGTAATATCGATACCACAGGGAGCAGCGCCACTGGTTTATAACTGCTGTCATTGTCAATGGAGTTGAAGATTGAACAATCAATTCTTGGTTGTTTGCTCAAAATCAAATTCCCCAATTTTCGCGGAGGCATCAATACGACAGTCATCGTCTCATCGGTCGCTGTTCAGAAAGATCAAAAAACTGTCAGAAGTAATACCGTGATTTATTAGGAACAAAAAACTCCCTAAATTAGAACCACGGTGTTTTGATGGAAACCCGGCTGATTATTTACAATTTGTAAAGGAGTTTGAGATCATGTTGAGTGGTTTTTTATTAACTGATGAAATGAAGTTAATGTATTTGATGAGGTATTGCACTGGAGATGCTGCAAGAGCTATACAGTGTTGTAAGTTTATGAAGCCAAAAGAGGGCTACGATGAGGCTATGAGCATATTACGTCAAAGGTTTGGAAGACCTTCAATGATTGTAAGGAACGTATACGAAGCTGTCAAAGGTAACGTCAGTCAACTTCAAGATGACTCCAAGGCACTTAATGAGTTTTTAGACAATCTTATGGCTTATAAGAATACCTTGATTTCGATGAATTTCATGAGTGACCTCAACTCGAGTTTTATACTAGAAGTAATAGCGAGACGCCTACCTACTCGACTGCAAAGGAAGTGGGTGAAGATTAGCTCACGTATGGAGGATGAGAGTATCGAGCCAAAATTTGATGATGTCTGATAGGATCCCACATATTTTGGTATTGACTGTTTAAACTTGCATATATGGTATGTTATCATTCTCACACATTTTGGTATTGACTGCTAATTTTGTATATTATCATTCTCACGCATTTTGGTAGTGACTGCTAATTTTAAATACATGGTATATTATCATTCCCACACATTTTGTTACTGACTGTCAATGTCGCACATATGGCATATTATCATTTCTCACACACTTTGTTATTGGCTATTAAGGTCAATTATTTCAAATGCTGTTAGCTGTGCATATTGTTGTAAAATGTATAAATACCATGGCTTTCTTTATCGTTGTTGCACCTCAATACACAGTCACAGTCCAGCCTTTGTCTTTTGATATTTGCGTGCTTTACTAAGTCGGAAGGTACGACAAGCAGATAGACAGATTAGTTCAGGCGCAGACAGAATAAGGCGAAAACGTCTTCATTCAATTCCCTACAGTTATAACAATTGGTGACGGGGTTTACTTTAATTCAGTGCAGTTATAACAATTTGGCGACGGGGTTTTACTTTAATTCATCGCAGTTATAGCACGCAACGACGACAGTTTTTATTCTGTTCAGCGCAACTATATAACATTTTTGACTGTGTTAATTACAACCTAATTATAATGTCTATCTCTCTGGACGATCTTCCGGTGACTGCAGTTGAGGTTGCCAGACACACACTGCGTGATCCAGTTTTACAGCAAGTATCAAAGTTCATCCGATTTGGCTGGCCTCCACATGTTCATTCAAATGTTTTAAAACAGTTTTACCAGCGACGCAAATCCCTATCCATCGTTAATGGATGCATAATGTTTGCTGATCGTGTTGTGGTTCCAGCTAATCTTCGTGACCATGTGCTTCGGCAGCTTCATATATCACATCCTGGTGTTGGGAGAATGAAGGCGATCGCTCGCAGTTATGTTTACTGGCCCAACATCGATGACCATATCGAAGACCTCGTTCGCAAGTGTAGTAAATGTGCTCAAGCATCAAAGTGTCCACGCAAGACAGAACTATGTTCCTGGCCACGACCGGACAAACCATGGTCCCGTGTTCATGTTGACTTCGCTGGACCGTTCAATAGTATGCATTTCTTAATATGTGTCGACGCGTTTTCCAAATGGCCAGAGATATTTCCTATGCATTCTGCCACATCAATTGCAACAGTGTCCCACCTACGTCAACTATTCTGTCGTTTTGGTATGCCTGATGTTCTGGTGTCCGATAATGGATCGCAGTTCACCTCATCACTGTTCTCAGATTTCTGCAAACAGTTTGGCATCCAGCATATTCGTAGCCCCCCGTATCATCCCCAATCGAATGGACAGGCTGAACGTTTCGTCGACACTTTTAAGCGTGCTTATGCAAAAGCGAAGGGGGAGGGAACAACAGAAGAAATTTTGGATAGATTCTTGCTGCATTATCGTACGACGCCAAATCCTTCCGCCCCAAATCAGTTATCCCCAGCGGAAATTATATTTGGCCGAAAGATCAGAACTGCCCTCGACTCAATTAAGCCTAGGCAAGTAAAGCAGGGCTGCAGAAATACAAAAATGGAAAACCAATTCAATCGCCATCACGGAGCTAAACGTCGAGTTTTCAAATTGTATCAGCAAGTTTATGTACGAGATTTTCGCTATTCACCTCCGAGATGGATTCGAGGACAAATAGTGGGGCAGAAAGGAAGGGTTTTATACAAAGTGAATGTAGAAGGACAGTTATGTGTCAGACACACGAATCATATACGAGATGCGTCAGATAGACTTGACAATGGGAGACGAGACCTCACGTTAGAAGTATTAGTAGATACATTTAATCTTCCGCAGCCGGAAGCCCGGGACACAGATCACACTCTATCCAGTACCATGCGAAGGTCAACTCGACAAAGAAGAGCTCCGAAACCTTTTCAAATAGATCCAAAAAGCAAGTCCTACACTCTTTACGGGGGGAGGTGATAGGATCCCACATATTTTGGTATTGACTGTTTAAACTTGCATATATGGTATGTTATCATTCTCACACATTTTGGTATTGACTGCTAATTTTGTATATTATCATTCTCACGCATTTTGTTACTGACTGTCAATGTCGCACATATGGCATATTATCATTTCTCACACACTTTGTTATTGGCTATTAAGGTCAATTATTTCAAATGCTGTTAGCTGTCCATATTGTTGTAAAATGTATAAATACCATGGCTTTCTTTATCGTTGTTGCACTTCAATACACAGTCACAGTCCAGCCTTTGTCTTTTGATATTTGCGTGCTTTACTAAGTCGGAAGGTACGACAAGCAGATAGACAGATTAGTTCAGGCGCAGACAGAATAAGGTGAAAACGTCTTCATTCAATTCCCTACAGTTATAACAATTGGTGACGGGGATTTACTTTAAATCAGTGCAGTTATAACAATGCCCTGAAACTAGTAAATACTATTGTCAATCAATCTATGAGCAAGTTCACCAGTCTATTACATCTCACCCCTAGAATAGAGCAGTCTGAGAGCAAAATGCAATCATTGATGACGAGTAGGCCTCAGAGAGGTGGATATCGAGAAGGCTCCATGATGTATAGTAATGCATATAGACCTAGTGAGTGCAACAGGTTTCGTAGTACATCCTCAACAGATAAGTTGCAAGATGCAAGACAAACACGGTTGTGTTGTACACGTTTGCAAGAGGTGCATACAAAGGTGAGCTGTGAACCAGTGAGCAAGTTCAGTGATAAGCTAAATGTAAACTCCAGGCCTGACTCCGAATTGTGTGACGATAACGGTGCGGTCAAGAAGTCTGTAGTTGCAACTGGTAAGCCATTGTTGAATAGAGTGTCACAGAATAGAGTTACTGCTTCAGAGTGCAGTTCTGACTCCAAAAGTTTACAAAGTATAACTAGTCAGAGTGAAGATATAAAACCTTTAATGATTTGTGAGGAGGAACCAAAATTGTCTACTGCTGTTAATAAAGAGTTTGAAAATGATGAACTTGACGGTAAAGTGAATATTTGTGATAATGATCATGATAGTGCAGATTTGTCTTTGGTTGATCATGATGAAATGAGGGGAATGCCTACTACTGCTAAGTTAAATAAAGGTTCTGTACAACTAGAACGTGAAGTAGAATTGAATGCAGATGCAGTTGCAGAAGGCGTGCATACTTGTGAGACCGTCAGTGTGATTGATCAGCATGTAGCCCACCTATCATCAGATGATAGTGCTAAACCCGAACTAGTAGTGAAAGACAGCAGTGGTGGTAATCTTGCAGTTAGACAACTTTCTGAAAGCCGAACAACAACAGCTTCTGATGTACCGCTAAGTTCATCAACTGGTATCAATCAGTTGTCGTTGGTGTTGTCATCCACAATGAAAAAGACGCCCATCAACTCAAGTATCTTGTGCAATGACTACGATAGTATTGGTGAATTTGAAAAGACGAAAGATATTGGTCAGTTTAGAGAGGATAAGCAAAGTGTAAACGAGAGAGTAATTGTTAAATTGACTTGCATGAATAAAGGCATTTCTAGTTTCAAATTACTATTTGAATGTTATTATCTTTGGTGTAAATTACTCTGTTTCTACACTTGGTTGACCAGATACGTCGTGTGTTTCTTCGTCATCTATATTCTACGATACAATGACATGAGCGTGTTACCGTTCAGATTTGAGGATATAGCTGATAGAAAGAAGTCAGCAAATGAACTCTGCGACGATTTTCCAACCTAGGGCGTCAACCTAAGGAGGGTTGTAGGCGTACTGCTGTAAGTCCTACAATTCTTCAAAGGGTAGCGCATCAATGAGCAGTCCAATGTGCTTGGTGTGTGATTTTGTACATATGTTCATATTGTATATACTGAATTGATATCATCTGTCATATAGCTGTTGGTAATTCTGTTTGTGTCCGGACGACTTACACTTGGATCATCAACCTGAGAAGGAATGTAGGCGTACTGCTGTAAGTCCTACAGTTCTTCAAGGGTAGTTCGTCAAGGCAGAATCCACAACATTTGATGTGTTGATTGTACATATGTTTGTGTTAAATAATTGTGTGAGTTCCAATTATTGTAATTGTTGGTTAATCTTGTTTGTGTCCGGATATTCCACAAATTACAATCGTCAACCTGTGAAGGTTTGTAGGCGTACTGGTGTAAGTCCTGCAATTCTTCAAAGGAATTCCACCAAGACATGATCGGCGAGTTTGTGTGTGCTGTTTGTATATATGTGTGGTGTGTCATATCAATTGGTGTTTTTGGATTCATTGTGTTTACTTGTTGTTTTCGTATCTTGTTGTTATTGCGTAATTTTGTTAAAATTTTCGTCGTGATTATTTCTGAAGTTGTGTCCACTCTTCTACATCCGTGAATGAATTGATTGATGTTAAGGACAGCAGATGGGTCGTATACGCCGGGGAGGCTAGGCTATTGCTGAGAATGGAATGCACACGGAGATAATTGTTAGCTGCGGTCCCACACGCCGGGGAGAAAGAGTGTAGACGACTGAGGCTCGCATGCGTCACCGCTACTAGAACTGAGGCAGAATGAGTGACAAGCGATTGCAGTGGTAATTGGTAGTGAGTGGATAAGAGAATGTGCGTAGAGTATCATGAGTTGGTGCTATGGTCACGTTGCATTCTGCACGAGCCATTCTAGCAAGTGGCGATTGTGTTGCAAGATGTCAAGAGGAGGTCTCTGTCTGGAGGCGCAGGTCGTCATTGATGTGTGAGATTGTGCTGTGAGTATACTTGTGGTGTGTTGGCTTTTCTGTTTGTTTTCCATTTCAGTTCTGTCCGTGTGACCCAGGTTCTCGCAATGGCATCCAAGTCAACGTGTGTTGGTCGTGATGGAAAATACGAATGGATCCCTTTGTGCCGGGGAGTGTCAATGTAGTTGAAGATTGAACGATCAATTCTTGGTTGTTTGCTCAAACCCAGTTTCCCCAATTTTCGCGGAGTCATCAATACGGCCATCATCGTCTCATCGGTCGCTGTTCAGAAAGAAGTCAGGAGAAAACCGTCAGAAGTAATATTGTGATTTATTATTGTAATATTTGTTCATAGACCTTAGTTTTAAAGCTTAATTTTAAAGTTGGCTATATGTTGGTGTTAGAATAAATAATTCTCTAGTGGGCAATCGGTGTTTGGGTTTTTGCGTCCGTTATTACTAAGCGTTTCTGAGAAGCTTTGAGGAATAGCTTGAGTCCCAGCGTAGCAAGAGCTGGGCATTGACGGTTTACCAGTCATGGCTCACACTTACACTGAGATCGGTGACTGGATGCTTGCAGGTTTATATGGCTGGAATACGGGTTTCTTATTACGATTCTATCAGTTTTAGACGTCCACCAACACTAGAGATCCCTTCGGAAACTATTGGAACTTATCTATCTACTGCGCCTTGAAATTTGCGAGATCGGGACTACCTCCCTCGGCAATCTCACCCCACTGTTCCCACTGAGCAGCGCTAAAATTCACTAACTCTGCATTTTTAATATCTCCGACTCTCATTGGTCCCATATTCATATTATTGCATCCCGCAAGATGCATGACTTTTAAATACGTAACTTATCCTTTCAAAAACACAACAGCCTTCAGTGATTTGTACCAGGAAGAATAATATTTAAAAAGTGGATGTAAACCCGAATGTCTCTTGAGTAGATGTTAGACTGACACTTGCCTTAAACTTCAAGACACGCTTATAATAATAATAATTTTATTTTCATATAAACATAAATTTACATGAAAATGCATGCCATTTTTACAGGCACGATCAAGTATGGTATAATGTCAAATCTTATATTGTCAACAAGTTAATAATGTTTCAACAGTCAAATATTTGATACATATATATAATTACACTCATTGTCTGAACCAGGCTGTATAGTTATTGAATTGTACAATTGTCCTCCAGGTTTCGCGGGAAAATCGACTTCGTTTCGTTTTCATCCCGTTGTTGTAGGCATACGATAACCAACCAATATTGAGGTAAGTACAACGTTTACAAGGAATTGGAAGCTGTTTTAGAAAAGTTAAAGTGCTAAGGTGAAACATTGAAGTGTAATAGATTAAGTGAGTGAAATATATCATTAATAAACACATTTATATAGAAAACAGAATGGGGAAGTAATTAATCCTTAGGCCGACAACGTTCATTTGCAATGTATAATGAAACCAATATATTTCGTACTATCATGATGTCCACTTTTGGCTTTAATACAATTATTTTCAAGCCAGTTGTCTTTATTTCATGCTTTTTTTTCTATTTGGTGCACAACCGTACCCTACAGAGAATAGGAATAGAATAAGTCGACTCGGCTTTGTCTTTTATGCTTACAGTGATGTCCTTTGTATCCTGGTCCTTCAGTTTTTGAGTGTTGAACTTTGATTGTGGTCTATCTGCAGCTCCAGTTTCCCTGAAAGCTTTTAATTCGATTTCGATTGTCCCTTGTACGAGATAATGGTCTGAGCCAACGTCTACTCCTCTTCTTACTGTTGCGTCCAGTGAGCTGCGCCTTCACTTCCTCGAGCAGCATTGAGATGAAGTCAATTTGGTTTTTGGTTTGGCCATCTGGTGACACCCATGTAGCCTTGTGGATATCTTTGTGTTTGTATACGCTGCCACCAATCACTAGTTCGCCGAAGGCGCAGACGTCAGCGAAGAGTTCTTCACTTTCACTCACTTCTCCCAGAGCTTCTCTACCCATGATGAGTTCCCTTCCTGTGTTGTATGGTCCCAGTTTGGCTTTCATGTCTCCCATTAGTATTTTAATATCGCCAGCTGGAGTACTGCCCATTGCTGCCTGTAGTTGTCTGTAGAATTCTTCTTTCTTTTCGAGGTCTGGGTTGTTTTTGGGTGCATAACATTGTATAATTGACACTTTCCTTCCTGGGCGAGATCGCCTCCCATTGCATCAGGGCCTTTGTTGCTGTTGGTCCCATCATGACGGCCACGCCTTCCGTGTGCGTGTGGTTATCTTCTGGATGACCGGGGTAGGTCACTAGCTCACCCGTTGACAATTTGGTGAGCCCATTCCCGT